TACAATTCCTATAGCTTTATTTAAACTACATTAAGGACTAAGGTAGTAAGGTTATACAATTTCACATGTTCTTTACAAAGACTTTATGTGTCCTAAAATTAACGAAACAAATTTAAAATCAATAAAATAAAATATTGTAACTTAACTGATTTTTTAAATCTATAATCTATATTATGATATAAGCTAGGTATAATGACTTTCGCTGAATTTTAGTTCATATATAGGTTCCCTTACGTTTAAAGTTTCGGGTATCAAATGTGAAAAATCTGCTAATAAGTCGATAAAAATAACTAAATTTAACGCTTTTCATTTTTTAGATTTTAATGATGAAACTATCTGATTCGAGATATCATATTAATACTCCTATGTCACCTTACGCATCTATTGGTAAAATATTACATACATAGTTATCATTAGTCATATAACTATAGCTTGGATCATTTCAACTACCTATTAGTTATTATTACGGACGATCATAGTTAATTATTCTGTCCGTAGAAATGTTCAGTAGGTGTTTGAAATTTCTTCAATTCAATCCATCTTTTAAATCTTTGATGTTTTGGGAAAAGACTTAACTTAAACTAAAAGTTACAGTACTGAAATAACTTATAAGTAATTTGATGATAAATTAATTCCATTTTATATTCAGTAATGTATACAAAATGTCAAAATTTAAATTACTTGTTTGGAATGAAATGATTAAATTACACATCACTTTTTTTTTTAAAATACATTTTTATGATCAAAAAGTATAACCATTGACAAAACTATAAAAATACATTTAAAACTAAATTAAAAACAGATACATAATAAAGAAAAATTTGTCCTGGCATGATGTTGAGTCTGCCGGGAAGGGGGCAGTGCGCACCCGGCCTTTCCCGTCAACACACCTATGTTAAAAATTATCATATAAGTACGATTTTCCGACAGTAACGTTTTTGTAAATGCAATTTCACGAAAAAGTTGTATTTTTAACAAGTAATAATGTGGAAGTATATTAAACTGTAAATTAATTAAATTTACAGTAATTATGTAATGATCATGTGTCTGTCGGTTTAGCTGGTAGGAGTTCCGGACTTCCTATACCTAGTTCCCAAAAATGTAGACCGTATTTTTTTGTTTCTGACCTATTTTTCGTAAGGTTTTCGTTGTCAATGGTTATTTATTTACAAAAACATATATATATGTATATAGTTAATATATTTGTACCCATGTTCTATAGCCTTCAGTGCTGTCTTTACCCTAAGGGCAAGTGGGGCACGGCGGAAGCTCCGAAAAATATAATTTATTTCTTTACTTTGTTCTTTATACTGAAGCCTTTAAGGCGCTTCTACACCATGAGCACATTTACAGTGAGCAAAATATCTTGATTTCCTTTGAGCATGGCCAGGAGACCGGCAGTCAATGGCTCGTGCTCGACATGGATCGCGATCACGTTTGCGTGGTTTGAATTTGCTCACGTTCCTGTTCATATAAATATACATCGTGAGGAATTTTAAATGAGCATGTATGCTCACCCTGAATGCTCTTCAGCTCTGGACAAGCCCTAACGTATTGGCTATATCTATTGGCGCATATCTCAACTAAATATTTGACGGTCAGGCTTAAATAATAAGTTATAATTTAAACACAATATCAAATAATATTTTACTTAGAATTTAAATTATATAAATACGTCGATTACTTCTTTAGCGATAAGACAGAGTCACAACTGATATCTTTTTGCAAAAATATAATCAATATTAATCGTTAATGTTATTTTTACATAAAAAAATAAATATCTTTATATGTAACATAATTATTTTGTATAATTAAAGATATTGTGTTTATAGATATATCATATAAAATAGACATAATTATTATTTAATTACTGTTTTGTAATAATTGATACCAAAATTTTAAATAGTTTAGGATATAGGTCCATTACTTAGGAACAAAACTTTTTCTAAAATAATAAAACAAAACATAAAGTTACAATTTATATACTAAGTTATTTTATTCATAATTAAATCTTAGGGTAAAATATAAACTTTAGTATTGTCTTTTGTTAGTCTGATTTAATTATGATGATTTATGAGATAATAGACAGGACTGTAGTTTTAGCGCAATTTGTTATCATACATAATATAGGTAGATGATTTTACTATCAGCTGATAAAGTATACAATCGAATGAAAATATGTAATCCGCACAGTATGTATTTATAATTTAATTTAACAATAATATAATTAAAAATCTTTTTTTTTTTGACCAATGGAAATAGTACGTAATGCATTTAATTAAATTCCATTCCCTATCATAGTACTATGGGAAATAGTGCAATATGGCCTACTTTGGAAATAGTACATTTTGTAAAAATTTGAGAAATTGGTATGTTTTGCATCATTTTGTCAACTGAAAAAATTATTTAATATGGGACATAATTTGACATAATTTTGAAATAGTTACTTTTGTTTTTCCCCCAGCATTGAAAATAGTGCGTTTTAGCGTCATCTGCGAGTTTCAGATTAATTTTAACAAAGGAAAATAGTTCTTTTTGTCAATATTTGATAGTACCATTCGATTCTCCGCCGTTTTCTCTATAAATATCAATATATAACTCAATTTAGTCAATTTTGGAAATAGTACGTTTTGGACTGTCGCCCCTCAAATACTAGTCGTCTTCATTTTTTTTTATTAATATTTATATTTTCAGATTCAAAATACAAACAACTTAACTGTTTATGTAAGTTTATTCACCTAAGTAACAAATAATGAAGAGTAAAAAAGATATTGTTTCTTGGTAATTCAAAGTTTGAATTTAAAAGGATAAAGTCATAAAACAAAAGTACATTTTAGACGTTTTTATTGGAATCATTTTTTCATTGCTCCTCAAACGGCCCCTAAACTCTGTGTGGCCAAGAGCCCCTGCAGTCGAAGACAGCTCTAATACTCCTATAATTTACTGTAATAGCCTTAAATATGCGATAATAGTTGGTCCTCTATGATTATGAAGCTATATCATTTGGCACTACTAATAATTGTTTTTTGAATACCTACATCTAAACAATGATACACTTCTTCGCTTTTCAGGTAATGATAACAAATGGTTCGTCGTCGTTAAACTAGGTTTAATCGCTTTACCTTATCTCAGCACCTTTCCTAATCAATAACAATTTACACCCATACAACTTCATTAATCTATGACTAATGAATGGTACATTAACTGACGAATACAAACTGATATTAATTTGATTTGATAAAAAAAACAATGTTCACTAATGTTTCAGTCGATACAGTGCTAGTGTACCGTGTAGTTTTGTTTCATTTTAAAGCGATTATTATTATTTTTTATTATTATTATAGTTTAAAGAATATGCATATTGTAAAATGTTCTTTATTTTTTGGGTGCACATAATATCATATGCATCACCGTAATCATTAAAAGTTCAACCACAGTAGTAAAATTATAAATATTAAAAAACTCGGTCATCGCTGAACATCTGTACAATTGTATTTTTCCTTAACATTGCATACAATAATCTATACAACATTATAAAGAGGTAAAATGTTTTTAAATGTAGAGGATTATCTCAGTATTTTATTAATGGATTCAAAAAGTCATTTTACCGATAAAAATCTAAGCTATCCTTGAGTAACAAAGTAGTACCTTTATCATATTATTAACTTCATCATATGAATATAAAAACAAATGTACTTTAGGATAGGGCTTACAGCCCATATAGTCCTTTATTAAAGTTGAAACTACTGAACCAATCGGCATTACATTTTACACACATATTCCTTGAGACTCTGTGAGTGTTTATATGTTTGTCTTTAATCCCTATAATACTCTATAGGTTGCCATAGAGTGGCTCACACAGGAATTTAGAAGTTCATAGTTCATACCTAGTCGTTTTTTATGGTAATATTTACTATATCGTGTAGATAGGTACTGTGCAGTTTTTAATCTTTGTATTAACTAAAACATGTGTGTAGTGCATTATATTAGCTACTGTTATTATAAAAAGAAAAATGTACACCGTCTTATAGTGTATTCTGTGGAGTAAGATTAATTACGGTTATACGTTTAAAAATAAATTGAAAAAGTCAGTTATTGCGACGTTTATATCATAAGTCATAACTAATTTAATGATGATAACAACTTATGAAGGAGATTACGGGACTGGTATATTTTATGAATGCCGAACGGTTTAAAATTTGTGTATAAGTTATTAGTCGAAGAAACCGAATAAACACGGATACAAATTATAATTATTTTATTCGAAAACTATAAACTCAATGCGCCTGTTATTTGTCCATGGTATTAACGAAAATATAATTAAATATAACCACACAGGGCACATGGTATGACAACTTAAACGTTTAAGTGGCTTCACTACTTGATTGAATTAAGATTACAATAATCGTAATGATAATGTTTTGGGAAAAGTTTTTTTTCTTTTAGTAATGTCGTGTAATACAAATTTGACACACATTTAGTGTTAAGTTGAATGTCGTTACAATTTTCAAATCAATTTTTATTTTTACTATATTAAGTCAACAAAAAGTTGAGGTACTCTTTTAAGTTTATTTTGAAAACGAAGTAGTGTTGAATTTTACTTATTAAGAGGATGCATTTGATCCACATGCGCTATCTCCGTCTTACAAACGAGTAACATGGCAAATTGTACGTTCTGGATAATCTATTTGAGTCTGTTATGATTAATATTGGAGCAAATTGACCAATTACACAATTTATAAATATGAATATTATCTGGTGAGCAGCGTAGGGTTTTTTATATTTTAATTTTAAAGCAAGTTATTAGTATTTTAGAACTGTGCATTTTTTTGGAATTTTAAAATACGCTTAATTTTGCTTTAAAATTAAAATCTAATATATTTGCAATGCGTAGGCTTAAGGTTATATAATACATTATATACTCAATACTCGAGTGCACTAACCTTATTCTCTTTGTACACTGCAATATTGTTCCAATTTCGAATTTATTTCTGTTCCAGTCCACCGAGGTACACAAGCCACTCATCAAAAGTGCATACCCGGAGATCTGGGTGCTGTAACTGCACTGCACGACCGGCGAACGAACAGGGAACGATTGATGCTCGACTAGCAGTGCATCGCCGGACCGAGGACATAATCCGCCATCATGGTGCACGCAGGATCTTGTGGCGACCGGCTACACGATATATTGGTCAGCTATTTGCCGATACTGACATGGATGCCAAAGTACAAGAAGTCGGACTTGCTGTATGACGCCGTGTCGGGTGTCACTGTCGCGCTCACGCTGATGCCTCAATCTATAGCTTACGCGTCGCTTGCGGGATTGGACCCACTCGTAAGTGCACCTGATCACGTGTGGGTACACAGGATGATTCGCCATCCATGCTCACCTATCTTTTATTTTTTTCAAAATCGTCATCAAAACCCTGATTTTTAAAAAAATGATATGTTTTTTTTTTAAATAATTATATATCGAAATCAGAATTTGGATGATAGTTTCACAGCTATTAAACATTATCTAACTAGGATAATAAATATGCTTGTAATACACATGACATAAAAAATATTATTATTATGTACCTAATATTTATTAATTTATATTTACGAAAAATTTTGAATAAGGATTCCATATAACTGGGGGGATAATATTTATTCCTAGCTCTTTGCATTTATTAATGTATAAAAAAAACCATAGTAGGGAAACTATATTAATATATTAGCATTTTACAATTTGTAAAAATTGTCTGAATAATTTATAAGAACATGACTAAACAAATATTACGTATATTTTAATTGTTTATATAAGTATATCCGGTCACCGGGGCAAACATCTTTGACTATTATTGCCGTATTACTTAAAGTTATTTTTGATTAAGATACATTAAAAGATACATTACATTCAAAAAAATCATCTTTAAAATATTTTTTTTTTAAATGGTTAAACGTTCTTTTTAAAAGTTACCTTTGCAATTTTCATTTTCTTACTAATAACGTTTTGCCTTGTAATGTGCAAAAAAATAAACTCATTTTGTAACCATCATAAATATTTTTAGGTTCATATCTTTCAATAATTAATTTGAATTTAACTTTTAATTTAAGATTTTTTACAACGACACTATTTAATTCGATGCAAATCTACTACCAAACAATAATATGTCTTTACACTTAAATACGTATTTTAAAAACTTTAAAAAAATTACTTTAACATACTATTTAAAATACTACTCGAAGTATCTATGTTTAAAATTAAATACTAATTTTCAAATTCTATAATAATTATTTTTAGTTTGTATATTTTTTATTTCAATTTTAATAAAGAATTGAGAATGTATAATAAAATGATATATTTTTCACTGTGAATTATACTCAATCTAAAATCAAATACTTCGACAAAAAAACATAAAAGTATTTTCAAGTTCCGCCAAATGATGAGGTTTAAAATGTATGCTTTATAAAATTAACATGAAACATAAAAATCAGTTCAGTTAATTTATAAGGTAAAAAAATATTTTATAAAAAATTTTTAAGTATTTGAAAGTATCTATAAAAACATTTTTTAAGTTTTAAATTGTACAGAAACATTTTTATTGCTGAGTATTCAATTACGTATTCTAAATACTTTTTAAAATAAGTATCTGTATCTATACTTAAATACTTTAAAAATTATTCTTTGAAAGACTACAGATTACACTAGTTTTACTGTAAATGAAACGATATATCAATGCTAAAAATATATCCTACTACATCAGTGCAGACTGCAGTACATGATATGAAACAAATTTATTGCTAATCTAGCTTAATTTTAGATAAAAGAAAAAAACTGTAATTTTTACAATACCTATATGTGGGTATAAATATTGAACTTTTATCTTTGATAATCATCTATACTCTATGGTAGAGGTTTCCAAGCTTGTTATGGTAATTTTGGAAATTATTTACATTTTGGAGGCTCACAATAATACCAATGACCTTTTCTTTTGTTGTTACGAATAAAAAATAAAAAAGAATAATTTTGAATTGATGAACAGTCTATTTTATTTTTTAACTTTTATCAAGGAATTGATTATAGCAATAAATTGCTATTTTTTCAATAACTATTGATCTTTTTTTTTTATTATAGCTTTAAGTAAACAGTAAACACTAATATAGCTCAATAATTATAAATAAAAAGAACATTTAAATTAATTAAAGAACAGATATTAAATAATAAAGCCAGCATCCAAAATAAAAACTATTAATCTTATTGCGTCGTATCGACATGGTTGCAATAAATTCGTAATTATCACAAACGCGGAAAACGATTTATAATAAAATTTAAATAAAACATCAACAAAAAGAAATCGAAACACATATCTAAACAATGCATTATAACCCGACCCACACTAAAAATATAATCACAACCCACTTTTGAGTCTCGACGCATTCGCTCAAAATCGATGTCTATAGTTTATGAATAATCTTAGAGTAAAATCACCAATTACTAAAAAAAAATTATAGATGATAATGTTTTTAACATTTAGCATATCAGTTGTGTATTTTTATTTTAAAATCAAAATTAAAAATATTAAGTATATGGGTTAACATAAACACAGTGGGTTGATTATTATAATGGCATAAAAACCAATTTTCAAACGGTGTAGTCAGATTATTAGATGAAAGTCCATGATCATTAGATTTTAATGATTTTCGAGTCGATTTCTGAATCTTTTATTTCGAGACTTAACTAATTTGTTTTTAGTGAGTGTCGGGTGCGGGGTGAGGTTTTATTCAGATGTATTCTTATGGAGTGTATCTTATGTTCTAAGAGAATAATATAGCCTATAGGTATTGCCTATTTAGTATTTTTAAGAAATAAAACAATCATCAACTAAGACTTTGAAAAAAAATGTAATACACAGACCTCTACCAGTAATTAAAATTGACTTTGGCGGTATAGTTGACGTATTTCAGCTTTTTTTAAATTTAACAAAATAATGTGTACATTTTTTTTTTTCGTATCAATGTGTAAATAGTAAATACATTTGATAACTGCTTAAGGGTACCTAATATAATATTAAAATATTTTCTAATTTTGATTTGTTGATCATTATCAATTGTTTTATTAGTTTGGATTGTATGCTGCATGCTTCGGTAGCTTGATGTACATAATATTTGGATCAGTACGTCAAATTACTATTGGTCCTGCATCCGTTGTTGCGTTGCTCACTTTCAACTACGTCAATCCAGAGTTACCAACTACGGCAGTAATTCTCTGCTTTGTGTCTGGAATTGTCGAGCTCATCTGTGGACTTTTCCGCTTAGGTACAGCAAGTTTGTTATCAGATAAAATCCGATTAAACCCCAATTCATTTACATTAAATTTAACCGTATGGTTATAGTAAATATAATTAATGATGACAAAAAAAAATTTTAAAAATTTATCAATGTAAATATATTAAAGGTGTTCCCTTTACTATGGGTCGTTGTCGTTATGTCACCTTAAATATGCTTAAATGAATGTCGTTTAATGACTGATTAGAGACTACTCTTCTATAGCATACATTACTTACGATACGTACAATAGGTAGTACATTTCTTAATGCCCTAATCGGGTACATAATGTTATAAGTACATAGTTTAAGTTAGTAAGTTACATAGTAAAGTTACACTTAACGCAGAAATAATGTTGGTTTATTCCTACCGACTCTCTGTACGATCGATCGAATGAAATACTTTGTTACACGGTGTTTAATATGCCGAATGAATGTAGGCTGCATAACCTCTAAATTTAAATAAAATTCTTAATAAGTTCATTGAAAAAGAAAATTTTATAAAAGTAATCGTAATAGGTAGGGACCTAATTATATTATAAAAGTGTTACACAAACGACAGAGTGAACATACAATAAATATAATTCTCTACGTGCCTAGATATGGTCAAAAATCAAAAAAAGATTATGTAAAAACATCATAAATAACTAACATCATAATCATGGGTATCATAAATCTAGACCTATTATACTTATATAAAAATTCATTTTCAACGCATTTTAATTAAATACCGCTCAAGTATCTTTCTGGATTCTAAGCTAATTGGTTTTATATTTATTTTCGAATGTTGAAGCAGTAAATATTAATATAGAAGTTTCGTGGAGCCCTTCTATTGGTTGAAAATGTAGTATGGATGGTTGTTTTATTTACTAAACTTATTAAGTCAGACATAACTTCGATCCACACTAAAGTAAATAACACCCAACAATTTTTTTCTTCTTCTCCTATATAGGATTCGTTGTGGAATTCGTATCGATGCCGGTGACGGGTGGATTTACATCGGCTGCAGCTATTATTATGGCCTCCTCACAATTGAAAGGATTGTTCGGACTAACATATGACGCCAAAAATTGCGTGGAAATGTGGGTAAAGTTTGTTGAACACGTCGAACATTTTCGATTGGCAGACACCGCTATGGGACTGATATGTATCTTCGTGCTGGTAGGACTGAAGGTGAGTGTGCACAATATATAAATACTGTAAACTAAACAGTCAATTTCAACAAAGCGCCTCAATTGTAGAGCTTAAAATCCATTAAAGTCAATGCTAAAGGAATAAAAGCAAAATCATATTCAGCGATACTATTTTTATTGACCACCGGAAGCAATGTTCTCGTAGTCGTCGTATCGTCGATAATCGCATATTTTTCAATCAGACAAGGCCAATCACCATTAGTATTGACAGGTACTACATTACAAAAACAGTAATGTATTTTAAATTGTAAATAAAATACACTTATATCACCGTGTATCGTAACTTATGTTTATAGGTACCATAGCGAGTGGCATACCGCAATTTCGGTTTCCGTTTTTGGACTACGAAGACGAAGACGAGAAGTTTACCTTTTTTGAAGGTTTGTCCAGGTTATGGCCCGGTGCGATAGTTGTACCGTTGGTGTCGATTTTAAGCACAGTGTCGGTCGCTAAGGCATTCAGTAAGTTACTAATCAGACTTTCGATATTTATAGAGTACCGAATATTATATACTGTGTTATGGTTACCGTGAGAACATTGGGGGTGGATGTTAAATTTTCCTTATTGGGTTGTCGGTTATCCCTCCATAAGTAAAATATTTTTGTGTTTACTGGCTACTTGTATGTCGTCACATTCACTTGTCACTCATGCTAAATATTTGACTCTACAGCATCACTTGAGCCATTTTACACGTTTATGTAGTGTACCTATGCAAGTTCAATATGGTTTTAGATTTGAAATAACTGCACTTTATACATATTTAATAAAACAATATTACAGAATATATAGAATCATTCAAAGTTATAGTAAAATGTATCATATATTTGTTCAAAGATTGATTTGATGAACCTGACTTGCATGTCGAATACATTTTATAGATAGAAAATGTTAAAGATGTCTGCTGTGAATGCAATCTGGTTGATTTGCATCAAATTGACAGAGCATAGTTAACTAATGATTAAATATAACTACAATAATAATATAAATAATATAATTATTATTTAATCATTATCTTCCGTAGGTGGTGGAAAAGTCGTCGATGCATCACAAGAGATGATAGCGTTGGGATTCTGTAATATTTTCAGCTCGTTTATGGGATCTATGCCCGTAGCGGGAAGTATGACCCGGTCTGCTCTTAACCATACCACCGGTGTCCGTACAACGTTCAGCTCAATATTTACAAGTACATTTCCAAACATAAAATCGCACTTTTGACACACTGTTAACGTTATAAAAACCAATTTGTAGCCATATTGGGAATGTTGTCGTTGTTGTTTTTGACACCACTTCTCTACTACATACCCAAGTCTAGTCTGTCTGCTGTACTCATATGTGCGATGACTTCAATGTTTCGATATGACATGGCAATTTCGTTATGGAAAACCAATAGTAAGTAACAGTTCAATTATAATGTGATCTACAACTTTACAATTAAACTGTAAATAATTTATATGAGTTTATATCTACACGTGTGTCAAAGTCTGCAGTTGTAGTATTTACCTTATACAACTTTAAAATATACCATACAACTGGTAAAATTGTTCATCAATATCCATAATATTACATTTTTATTTCATACTTTAGACATAAATAAAAAAAGCTATAAATACATGTAAACGTTATTAAAAAATATTTTATAACATCCAATACGTTACCTAAAACCAAAACCCACGGTCTGTGTCTTTTTTAAAATTGAACATACAGTTATTGGATATATACATTGCTCATTTGATAGAAGGCCATGAGGATATTATTTACGTCCTCCAAATTTTAGAATTATCTCTTTTGCGATTGCCATAATACCACCGTGTCACCGTGGTATTACAATACTAATTATTAATATCACAGTATTATATTATTATCTTATACACATAATATATTGAATATATTGCTATAATAGTGTACGCAGAAACATAATACGTATTCTACCTAGACATATTTTATATTAAGTACGTATCTAGTACGTGTTGGGACGCTTTATACTGTCCAACGTTCGTTTTTATGACAAAATATGTGTACGTACTAGTATTGAATACAGTTTAAATCCGAAAAAATTTAACAATGCCTAAAGTATACTTTAAGACCAAAATTATATTATCTATTACCTACCAAAACTCAAGTTGAGTTCTATTACACAGGACGTGATCTAATACCGTTCACCACGGCGTTCGTCTCATGTTTGATATTCGACGTCGAGCTTGGACTTCTGTTCGGAATCTGTGTTGACTTGTTGTGCGTGCTCTACCGCAGCGCTAGACCGTCGATTTCTATCGAAAAAGAAACTGTGAGTAAACACAAAACATAAATCTTTTTTGTTTCCACTGCAAATCACGGTACATTTAATCAACCCTTCAATGCATGAATATATTTTTATTATTATTATTTATTTCTACTTCAATTTTTTATCCAAGTGATTCGCTAAAAATAGTAAAAAGGAAATCCCAGTCCAATACTCGAACAGTGGAATCTGAAAGTTAAGTTTGTTGTGCTGCAACATCAATTTACAAAACAAAATTTTGTAAGGTTTAAAATAAAATGAATTGGTCTTTGGTAAATTATGTACCTACTATTTTTATTTTTTTATTTCACATAACAATAAATATGTATTAATTATTATAAATCACAATGCAATATTACTTTAGTGTATAGGTATCAATTTTTTTTAATTTGTAAACTAATACCTAACATTGATTCTGAGTTTTTAGTATAAAAATAGTTTGAATTTAAAATATTATGTTAGGTACCATTTGAAATTTAAAAAAACACAAACAAATAATAATACCTGAAATATAACCAATTTTTATTTTTTAACCTTTTTTCGTATAAGCATACAATGTTGTGTTCTACATAATATGAATAATATTGTAATAATAATCGGAATTTTCCGATCTTTATGACGAAACTCTGTTATATTCAACGTATTATTCTCACAGTGTACACCTGCTGAATTCGAATTACGAAATAATTTTTTTTAGAACTCGGGTTGCGTGAAATGGGTGGTTAGGCCTAGCAGCGGGCTACTGTTCCCGGCTGTGGACTTTATGCGACAGCGGATCATTGCCGAGATGTCGTCTTCGGAACGCTCGAACAAACCGAAACTCATAATCGTGGACTGCGTTCATTTCGACAAGACCGACTTCACAGCTGCCCAAGTACGCATATAATATAATTGTAATACAACAATTGTAATTAGTGTTTCCCAACACAAACTAACTTGTTATGTCTACCTTTCATCCAGCGGACGACACTTAAAAAAATGTTTGATGTTTGATATAAAATACCTACTGTAATATTGATTTTAGTATAGCAATTAATAAATATAATTTGATATTTTATTGGTAGTATAGTACTAATACAAACATTATTAGTATTATACGCATAAAACAAATAGTATATTTTGATTTATGTTGTGTGTACGATGATCGTATTTAATCTCTTGTTTATTTTTCAGGGAATCAAATCGTTGATAAATGAACTGAAAGCCGAGTCATGTCAACTCGAACTGATGAACGCCAAAGAGTGTGTAGCGGTTATATTGGAAGCCACTCTAAACGTTAAAATCTTGTCAATGGTTCCTCTTCAAGATTCGATTAAAAAATTTAATTTTAGTATGTATACATCATTTAGCATTACAATATAATATATTGCAGCCATGTCTCAAAATCAGCTTTTTCACGGAAACTGAAAAACTGTTTTAAATTTAGTAAAATATGAAGAAATCCATCAAGTACCCATTCACTTTTTCCTGAAATTAACGCTCAAATTTTCCCGGCTTTATGAATTTGACCATCTATTTTTCGTTATAGAGTTTATTATTTTTCATTAAACCACTTTAATTTTGTCTTACAAAAACATCTTTAGATATGACATATGTTAGTTTACTTAGGTATGTGGACTAAAAAATAAAAAATAATTATTTTTACAAGATGATCTTTACACATACGTTTATTGAATATCATTATTACAAATTTAGTTATCACACCTTAACATTTATTCAAAAATAACCATTAATTACAAATTACATACCTTATATTATCATTGGTATTGAATTGTTTTTCTGTCTGTCACAGTATTGGATAAACAAATTTCTTTTAATTTTCAACTTAAGGGTGAATCTTTTAATCTTCTCTTAATTAAAGGCTTGAATTATACTAAACATATAAATTAATGTATGTACCTATTTTTAATTTGCCAAATGTTTTTATCTTAACAGTTCAGCCTGATCTGACTGGAATTGAATCAATGACATTACACGAGATGAAAATGAACAATATTTGTGAACGTAAAGCGTGATTGTTACTTATTATTATGTAATTTTACTTTTGTATACTATACCTATTTATAAATTTGTAAATTATTATATAATTTTTTACGACTCTATTATTAACAATATATTTATATACTAATGAATATATATAAATAATGTATATTATTTTAAAATTTTGTGAAAAATAAATAAATGTTTTATTATTCTTTTACTGTTTTGATAGAAGTAATTTTGATAAACGTCTTATAACACACTGACATTATTGAGCATGTTAAACACATTCTACTTAAACAATCTTAACCTAAACTAAAATGTCGATATCAAATGTAAAAAAATTATTGTATTAAAAGAGATATTACCTGTTAAAATTTGATCGATTCCGGCACATGGCTTAATTAAATTAGTCGGTAATCCGACGGATGTGTTTCTTTCTACAACCAATGTCATACACTGTTGTAAATATCATTTCACCTAAATCTTCGCATTATGCGACGATGTTCCGGTCACGAATGACTTCTAAGTTATTTTAAAAAATTTAAACTTCAGTTTGTCATAAAAAAATACTTGTGAAAAAACACTCAACTTTTTTTATTTGTTGAAAGCAAAATGTAAATGGAATCTTGTACACATTTTCAAACCTTAGGTTAGGTTACCTTGAATATAAACAATATTATCAATTGTTAGCTACATTATAATTAAAACATTTTTGTGACAAAAAAGACATTATTCAAAACCCTAACATCAAACACCCATACAAAAATATTGCAGATTTCAGCTCAACTTTTTTTTTTTTTATCACAGTATTAACGACCTATGAGAAACCTTGTATTAACTTTTCAAGCTTTTTGATCGAGCAAAATATTTTTATCGATATTTATACAAAAAAAATCTGGTGTCATGGGAAACCTGGTAGATCGTAGATATAAAATCAATTAACAATACACTTACACACTAACGCACGCCCACCGTCGATATGACTGTATATTAAATATATATATGTATAATGTATATAATACACATCATTAATTATTATACTATATATAGGGTAAAGCTTAGATCATAGGTATACTATATAGATGGACTAATGTCTAGATAATTTTAAGCATAATTATATGATTGACTAATTTCTGAATTAGATGAAGAAGCTGTTCATACATGAAGTGAATTGTGGCATATTTATCCTTTATCCTTTATTAAATATAAGCTAATCAGCGATAAACCGCTAAATATGAGACGGTCAGCTCATGCATGCGTATAAAAAAATACTTATACATAGAACATGTAATTCAGAGACTCGTCTTAATTTAAAGTTGTTTACACGGACGAGGTGGGCATAGCTAGAGAGCCTTAATAATAATCATTAAGGTTCTCTAGGCATAGCTCTATCCACAATTTATGATCTATTCATCTATGATATATAATATACATAGATATAATATATATTCACATCTTATTAAATTACTAGCTGCCTTATAACTGATCAGTGGGAGATCCGATTTTGAAGGACTATTCGTTTGAATTACATAAGTCACGCACTCTCGTGGCTTATAGCCTATAGGTGTCGCACGTCTACAGTCAATCAAAATTCAAAAGATTGAGGTGATAAGTAAGACGTCAGTTATGAGATTAGATGATAAGGTTTGACGATAAGGGTTTGTGGTAAGGGTTGGAATTTTGGCGAACTCTTTCGAAGGCGGGAATGTTTGAAAGTTGAACTTGAGTGTCTAGCAATCGCTATCACGACCCGTGTAAATCGGTAATTGGACGGATGATACAGCCTCTGGCATATGCCCTATGCTTTTTTGTAAATATACAAATTTATAATCTAAGTTTTCCGATATTTAGCAAGTCAGTCATCACCAGACCGGGCAATCTGCTCTCGGTGTTTTCCCCTTTCTCACTGAAGTACTGGAAATGTGTTACGTTTATTCTCTTAAAGTAGGTACCTACTAGATTACACGAAAATCGAATGACACATTTATGTGGTGCGTTTTTTAAATACACATTGATAATGGTTTTCGAAGACAGGTCTACAGATTGATGTTATGCATTTTGCAAAACCATACGTTTGTTAGCCATTTGGATTACAACGTTAAAGTATTAAAATAATATTCGAGTACCTATACGTAACTAATAACTATAAATTTAATTGGCCTTGCAGGACACGATTAAAATCGAAAATTGTTCATTATATTATTTGTATTTAGTAATTTGGGTGATATTTTAGATCTTTAAGACACTCAAACTTTGTATTAAATAATTTCAAGGAATTTAATTTTCAAAGTAATAAAATTTTAAATTTTCATAAAAATAAATTATTAATTTCTTCGGGCATGATCCATAATAAATTATTAACTAATAATCCAATACATGTTCATCACTCTTTACTCTGATTGCAATCTCCCAACAATATAGGGTTGAAAGTGAACGCGATTTATCATCACTCATAAAATTTTGAATTTTTTGAATTTCAACTTCGCAAATAATTTGAAGAACATTATTTGAGCAATTTATTTTAATACGTGTATCGTTCACTATACATCTTATTCTATATGTATAAAAAATAAAAATGAATGTTTGTCTGCCTTTCTGTTACTCTGTATTTTATGAATGTCTAAACGGCAGGACCGATTTCGATGAAATTTTTTGTGTGTATTTGAGCGGTTCCCTGGATGATTCATAATTGGACCCGATAGGTCTAACCCGTGGAGGGAGGGTGCTCAAACAGGGATTCTGTGATTTAAGAAGGAAATTTTTGTTTATAAATGGTTGCTATTTGTTATATATAGATTTAGTAGAAATAAGTTTTTTTTTTTGTTTATTGGTTGCCATCGATTAATCGAGCAGATCAGGTATTTGCATGCATCGAATCAAATTTTCGCACATTGCCTACCAAGGTATAGTTGACATCTACCCCGATACCTATATCAGAACTGAGATCTCATTCCTGACGTCCCGATAAAAGACCAAAATGTCATGAGGTTAATGAATCATGGTTGAAAACAAAAAAATTTTGTTTTTCAACTTGTTACTTGTTCTACTAATAATCTTGTACAACTAAACGTATGTCATTATAATCCAATTAAATCGCTATCGCAATCGTTATTGTTATCGATTTATGAAATTTACTAATAACGTAGAACACTGGAACACGGCTTAACTGCGATAAGTCGATAATTATCAGTAAGTCGCTTTATTTACTCGACGGAGTACGGTACGATTTTTTCTTTCGGAGAGTGCGTAATTTTAAATAAATTGTTTACGAAAATATTTGCGGCGGAAAAGAGAAAGTGCCATTTTTCGGACGACTACAAGAAGGAGTGGAGTCTTATAAAAGTATAAAAAATATTTTTTTTTGTATGTAACCTTAATAAATAAACAAATAATTTATCTAAAATAAAGAGCTCTAATACTTATTTCAAAATCGGGTATTTTTATGCACTTCATCCTAGAATTCCTAAAACATCCTGACGAGACCCTAGCCGAATATGGCAAAACCAAGGTAGCTGAGTTGTTCTTATGACCACTCATCGGCGTATAAAAGTAAAAAATAAAAAAAACTTATTCGTAGAGAGTACACCCCAAGCGGGATCCGCAATCCATGTGAATTGAGAACCTGATAATATACTGCTCGCATTATCACACGCTAGTCTCATATAGAGTTGTTGGCATTTTTAACAGGCAACGTAGTGCACGGGATCGTCGGGATCAGCTAGTTTTTAATAAAATTGATATCGATAGTAATTTCTGTTTTATTTACTTGTTCAGATAAACGCATATTGTTATCTCAAATTTTGATTTTCTGAAAAAATATGTCCACTGTTTGTTTCATTCATTATTAAATAATTGAATAATAATCGATGTTCGAACTGTAAAAAGATATACAGTGTACCTAGTCATTATTTAATATTTTAATTACATAAATGCTGGACATAATTCATTCATTTAATATTGATATTACGAGTTTTCTCATTCACTAACGATAAGACTAATAAATATGTATGATAATATCCCTACCTTACCAGACCTTAAACTTTGACTTATTAATACTGACGTGCCACTGATTACTCAACAGCTACAGAACATAATAACTATCCGACAAAAGAAATAGACACCATTTATTTTAATATTTTAAATAATCAAACAGACAATATTTTTTTATTAAAATTTGTTTTAATATTGTGTTAATAGTGCGGATGTTTATTTCTCTAATATCATATTTCTCTATATTTAATGAGTGACAACGAGTAAAAGTGGTAACACTAACAATTTCAGACTTTGTATGGTAACTGGTGAGTCCATTGAATTTGTACTTTGATTTGATTCCTATATATTATGTTAGACTTGTGAGTTATGACAAATAAGATAAAACAATTCAAACTAATCACAAATATTTTCCATCCAACCCATATTATTGATAAAAATAAAAATGTTAATTCAATTAACAAACTTTTCTTTGTTCTTAAATAATGATTAACCTAAATCATAATTGTTTTAATAAATGATCGTGTGTTGGTTTAGGTATTCGGTACTAGCATTATTATTTATTATACTATAAATGCAACTCTTATTGATATATATATTTAATTTTAATATATACCCATCTAATTATGTCTTAGTCCGTAGTAATGACTAATATTTATATTTCGATATCGATATCAATTTTCACACATCGATATCTGGAAAACAAGAACGATATCGATAATGTATCAAATTTAGTTATGTATTGTTGCCCGTTGGCCCACACGATAAGCATTATCCGTCAATTTACATTATTAAGAATAACCATTAACCTTGTCCATCTTCAAATAATACTTACACATTGCGTAGCTTAAATAATACAATAACATTAATCCAAAATTAAAAACAAATTTACAATTCTGAAACGTTATAGTTATAATGAAGGTTAAATATTTTTTTTATAGTTATTTTATAATATAATATATTATAAATTATACAGTATTAAAACAAATTCACACAAAATAAAACTTAATTACACTATAATACTAAATTATTGTGGTATGTACTATGTAGTATAGGTATACGTATACTAAATGATATGATATTATATCATCTACTTAACTATTATAAATGCAATTCTAAAATGTATTTTAAAATTATTCGCTATATCGGTATTGATTAGGTAATGGTTTTTATATAAAAACAGTAATAAAATATATTATTTATAGGCATTTAAATTGATTGATAGTCTACAAATATTATAAAATGGGATGCGTCGCAAGCGTTTATTTTCCAACGTAGTTACTTGTTTTTTCATAAGACTTACAAATCCTCGTGTAACACTTATGTAGGTATATCAGTGGTTACCAAACTGTTGATCGCGATCGATCCATCAGTAATTTGGAAGGATTTATCTATTTGTACATTTATTACTACGACCATGATTTGCACTTTCCAATAATTTTCTTCAATAATCCAAAATTCCAAAAATAACACTATGAAGCACTTATTTATTCATAAGCAATTATTGTATATACTAAAATTGTACTGTAAACAAAATATTAAGGTACATTTTATTATTAAAGAATGCACCATATCATTAAAATTACTTAAGAAGATGTCGGAGTACCATTTGTTTTCTGTCTTTGACTTACGCGTAACATCGAAAGTGTACGTTTAGCAGCAGCAACCTGATATTGTTACTTTTAATATCAAAGTGGAACTCATTAATTATCAAAGTTTAAATTATGAACATTACTTGTGTCACTAAGTTATTTTATGATATTTTAATTTTTTTGTTAGTTGTGAGCTTGTAAATTATTATATTTTATAAATGTTTATAAGCCTTATCAAAATTAAAGTATCATACAAAATACAATCTAGCGACACTTAAATGTTCTTAACTTATATAGTTTGATAATAGGTAAATGGACTCTACAAAATTAAAAAATAGCAACTCAGAGTTAGTTTTGCTAAATCATAAATGTAAATTTGCCATGTTGCAAGTGAATCGGAAAAAGAAAATAAATGGTGGGCTGATATCCCATTAATTAAAAAGTGAATAAAGGAATATAGTATATAAATAAACGATCTTATCGAAAATAGATTGGCCACCCATGATTCACAAACACAAACGTGTGTAATGATAATATTATTTTGATAGTAACTGCGTATTATTTTATTCACTGTTTTGCAACTTAAAATACACGTGAAACCAATAATTGCATTGAAAAGAATGGAAGGCGCCTGCATCGCGTGAAAAATTCAAAATAAAAATGTCTGGTACTAAGAATTAAGGCGGTTGTACAAATCTAAACATAGATGATAGATGGTTAAAAGATCGTACCTACAATAGTGATTTATTCAATTTGTTTTTTTATTTATATATTGTATAATAATCTTTGTCGATTGACTATAGCCGTTTCTTTATGATTTACTAATACATTTAAATATTGCAACAAAAAAAAACGTGGGTGCTACCTAGGTATAAAATGATTATAAATTATAATATTGTGATATGATTCGTTGATAATATTTTTTTCAATTCCTATTTCCTACATCTACGTCGCGGGTCATTAGCAATCTCGTCAACGACGAACCGTTGGACGAATTTAGTACGGGTAATTTGTACATAACGTTAAAATAATAGTAATAATAATGATTATTATAAATACGCAAAACGTGGGCGGTAAAATATGAGTGCTGTACACTTTTAAGGATTTTACTGTAAAATTTATAATTTTAGAATATAATATATTATAGTATGGTTTCTCGACGACTGTAAAGTTATTGTTATTTATTACATAAGAATGCAAGGGAGTTTGTCGAAAATCAAACTGCTAAGCCCCCTATATGTTATCATGTACATAATTCATTGGAACTTTAAAGTCAGTCAAACGGGACGATATTAACAATAGCCAAGTACACAGAAATTCGTCGATATTTATTATTACCGTATACCATAATATCACTGTTATATAATAAATAAGGTATGTTTACCTATACATATGTTGCGTGCACGGGACACGTGAGCCGGCGCTCTTCAGCTGTTTGGAATACTTTTGACCGCCATAACCGCGTGTCCCACGGCGTATACCAACTGACTAACGTGCTTTCGATACGATTCGTGTGCCCGCACGTGACACCGCGTGACACATAATTTCAAACCACGTGCTCTCATCTTTCTCAAGGGTCTTTCATTCTCTTTCTCCGCGTCTATCTCTTTCTCTCTCTCTCTCTTTCTCTCTCTCTCTCTTTCACTCTCACACTCACACACACACACACACACACACACACACACACACACACACACACATACAGGCACAGGCGAGAAGACCGAGGCGGACTATGAGTGTTGGGTCCAGATAATCAAATAATTATCTAGATATCATGAAAAATTGTATTCATTTAACGGTCCAATAAAATTTAATGGACCAATCACTAAATCATGTTTAAAGGACAATTAGCTCACCATTGATTCGTTAAAATGTTTAGTGATTTTTCATGCAACCCATGGGTTGTAACCTGCAGCAGTAGGATAATAAATAAATAGGAAAATTGGTCGTTATCCACATAATAAAATAGAAGAGTACCTATGTATGTTTTTTTTCATATATCAATACAATTAACATATAATTTACAAAATAAGTAAAAATATTATAATAGATACCTATTTATGCTACCTATGTATTATAATTCATATAAGACGTAATTGCATAGGCAAATTAATAACTACCAAATATAATAAAATGCGTATTGGCCCTATGGAGGTGTAGGCCAAGGGTGGCAGACCCCATATGGTTTTGAGCGAAGGGCGAAGAAAAAAAGAAGAATATTTATTTATTTATTATATAGGTACCTATAGTATAATATACAACATACAATTTGTCTTATGGACTCGTTTAAAAAATTATAGATCATATTGTATCAAATATTAACTATGATAAATATGGGATATCAACCAATTAACATTAATCTTCTTAGTGGTTCATCAATTAAATTATTCGAGGTGAGGAGTAGTATAAAAAGAAACTTGAAATCGAATGGTTTGTTAGTATCTATTATATTTTTGAATGATAAATATTTAAAACTGTATGGGTCATCATCAAGGTACACTTAAATTTAGGTAGGTACTTATTTTTAAGACGCTCAATTTTTTCTTATTCGTTATACCTACTGAAAACTATGAAATATCTTATTTTTGATATTAGGAAATCAAAATCTGAAAAAACTTAACCTCAACAACAAAATTAAACTTTATACCTACATAAATACCAGCATATGTCGGCGCGTATTAGAATAGATGCCGTTTATAAAATGATGGTTTCACAATTTCACAAACATATAAATATAATCGACCACAGTTCATGAAAAATTTGAGCTGATATTTACCGATTTTAATAATATTATACTTGGAATAACATTCGAATTTAAACCTGTATTACATTTTTTGATGTTTAAATTGTATTCCTATTAAATGTTAATAGAAAATATTTTTTTCTTTATAAAACAACTATATTGAACTCACTTAAGTACCAAGGTACTTATAGTTACGTCATACTGCATTTTTTGCTGTTTGCTGACGGTTTACAATTATTCTTAGAAATTTGTTGTAAAAATGACTAACTTCTACTTCAAAGTGACCTTTATACGATATTTGCGTGGGCCAAAAACTTTGGTTTAAAGTTTAATACTTCAAAGTGCCGTTGTATATCCTTCCACAAAATCCAAAGCATAAACTGTGCTCTTGTTAGATGTATTCTGGAGTATGCCGTTTTATTTGGGAGTTTGGGACCCTGGTACTGCGAGTAGTAGGAACCACATAGAAAGGGTTCAACGTACATTCTTAAGTTTTGCTTCTAGGGATTCTGCACATTTACTACATACCTCATGCTTAAGATCGGGTGCTCCCCATTTGCGCCGAAAAAAATGAATTCGTTTTGGGTATAGTCCATTTGCGCCAAATTTACCTGGTATAAATGTATAATTATAATAAAGTAATATATTTTTTATTATATACAATTTTATTTAAATCATAATTAATTATATGAATTTTTCTTAAATAATAATAAATAATAGCTGTATAATACATATTTTTTTGAAACAATAATCAGAATAAATACAAATTGTTTTTAAAATCTATAGGTGATAAATTATTACAAACTATTATAGTTTATAACAAATAAATAATAATAGTTAATAGTACTTACATATTTTTTACTATAAGTTACAGACATGAAGTTTTTAAAATATAAGAATTAACCAAGCCGTTAATTTAAAATGTTTACGTTGGAAAAATTTGGCGCAAATGGGCTGTCTGAAAAAACATACCTTTTTGATTTTGGGGCAAATGGGGTGTACCCAAAACGAATAAATTCTTTTGAGGCAAATGGGCGATGCCCTTAGGATCCGGTACTTAACACGCTAGGACAGCGTTTCTCAAAGTGTGGGTCGCGACCCACTGGTGATGGGTCGTCAGTCAATTTTTAGTGGGTCGGGAACATTTTTTTGAATTATATAGATTCCTATAGAAATTTATGTTAAGTACCTCATTATAAAAAGTACATTTTAATTATATTAATTATATTTTTATTCATATTAATTATAAACCTGTAAAAAAATTAAATACCTAATAAAAATGTATACATATTTATACAATACAAATTTTTTTTTCCACAAATTGTTGAAAAGTGGAACGATGTGGGTCGTGAAAGATTTTTCGGAGGAAATTTAGGTCCCGGTATTAAGATTGAGAACTACTGCGCTAGGACATTCGGTTTTAACTGATATACTTGTTTCTGCAAAACCAAATATTCTTATAAGTAAGCTCATTGACAGCTCTATATACTGTCCTGTATTGCTAAGTCGATTTAGTTTCAAAATCCCTAACTTCCAGTCACATATAACTTATGCTTTTTTCATACCCGTTTGCACCACCAGTTATTCTCTCTAATAGTCAGGATGATACCTGCTGCTAACGAGGATACGTCGTTTTCTTTCTGTTAATACCAATGGTGCCTAGTGCCTACATAGATACCTCGTACCTACATACTATAAACACCCAATAATATGACAACAAGTTATTCGTTTCTAAATCGTTAGAAAAATTGTAGAATTTAGAATGTTTTTCCAAAATAATTAGTTTACGATAAATGATTTATAATACTAGGTACCTATAGATATACTAACCTGGTGTAATATATTACCTAATATATAATATTGCAAATATGACGAAGTATTCTCGATTGAAAATATTCAAGTGTACTTATTGTTCGATCTGACTCCCAGTACGCTACAAAATGTATCGTCTAGAATTCTTCCCTATTATACTGATAAGATTCAGTCCTCCTCATGAGTCATGATTATACTCTCCTTTTCTTGTACTCGACTTAAAATATTTAATTAGAACTATTGATAGAAGTATTAATAGTAATATTATATTATTTTTATCAGCAAATATTGATACGAATATAGATGCTCCAGTATATTTAATTGGGCAATGTTAGTTTTCTTGCCCTTCTCGGAAATTTCACCATTCCCACGATCTTTCCATTCCTATTTGTCCTACACATTATTTTTAAATAATCCTTGTATAAAATGATAAGTTGGCCAATAGAAAATTCCTAATTTGATTTATTTTTTAATTATTATCAAATGTTACGATTATTAAAATTGTTTCGGTATCATTTTTACTACTTTTGATGTAATTTACTTTAATTTTGTTATGTTTGTCTGTATTTAGTAAAATATTTTGAACCGGGGTCAACCCGTTTATGCTTGAATGCTTGAAATAATATCAATAAATATTAAATAATAATATAATATAAATATGTACCTATTAATAACCTACAAATTGCAATAATATTTATTGATTAATATAATAACGACGTTTGCTTACTGGCACACGATAAAGTCTATATATTTTTAGTTACAGAAATGTCCACCAATGCACCCCTTCCCTTAAACGTGTCACTGGATTTCGAACCCCTCCACACTCGTTCCAGCATCAGTTGTATATAAGTAGCTAGCCGACTTTTACGACCACGCACACACATCACGGCCGAATCTCGAACTGTTGCATTGGCGTAATAACGAGAAACCGATCACGGTATACCTGTTCGCTGTTCACGACCAGGTAAAATTAACATATTTTTAACAACTATATTATATCGTCCGTCGAAGACCATTCAATTCACGTTCTGACTGCGATCCGCATATACGTAAAATTATTCTATTATTATCTCGTCGGGTTTAATCCGTAAAGTTTCGCGATTGTTTACGATTATATTGTAATATTATGAAATCTTTATCCATGTGTAGTATCTATTGAATAATTATTACAATAATATCATAGTACAGCCATGATGTGAATGGCATCATTGAGAAACTTTTCGACATTCGATCTTATAAAATATTAAATCACTGTATGTATACAATACCTATCTACTCTTAACTACCTATTTAAATTTTAATACGACTATATCTACTGTCCATCGATAGTATTTTATCAAATTTCAGCTATAAATGTATTTACAAATGTATAACTGTCAAAATGAACCATCATCGTTTTCGAAATTGTTCACTAATTAGGATCGTTTTTCTCAAGTTTGGTCGGCTCTTAAGATATTATGATAGACGACAGATGATAATAACATATTATACTGTACTGTCCGATGACGTTCAATCTGTGCTTGTAACAATCCAGATTCTGAAATTCGCAAACGGAACGAGGAAAATAATTAATACTCATACATTTATTATAAAATCATAAAACCATGTCGAGTCCAACAAACTTCATAGGTACGTTTGATTATTATCACCTTGAGTATAATATGTTAATAATATTGTAAGTCTGTTGCAATGTATATGCGACCGATGTCTGTTACAGCCTTAAAGGAAACACTATTAATATTATCCACTGTCGTAAACTCGTAATGTGTGGTTCTCGACTAAACAATTTTTTTGTTTTACGTTATTCAAATAATTCATTATGTGTTTATTAAAATCATGTTCACATATCGGTTATTAGCTATTGTTAGGGCTTAGGAATTGACGTTAAAAACAACGCAATTTAAAAGTATAAATACCAAGATAAATAACTTTTTCTGATTCATTTATTTATTTATTAACATTCAATATTAAAATACGACATAAATAAATAAAATGCCTATGCTTTTATGGAAGAGTTAATAAATATTTATTTGTCACGAATAGTTTTAAATTTAATTAGAGTTACTTGATTTTTAAGTTATTTTAATAGTAATATTCAATATAAATCATGATCAAAAAAAATTAAATTTGACTTGAAATTACAAAATTTGTCAAAAAATACAAAAATATAAATTAGTTATGATTCGTATGTTAATTAAAAACATTTATCTAGGAAGTATCAGCTGAGACGTATAGAGACGTTTTTGAAAAAAAAAATGAAAATTGGTAATTTTTTGAGCCCTATGGCCTATAGTAGTTATTATTTATCATCGTATAAAATAATTAATTATAGGTAATAAGTGAAATCGGGTCTTTGATATTTTCATATTGTGGTAAGTTAATTCAATTAATTGTTATAAAATATGTATATGAATAGAATACTACTTCTGTGTTTACTAACAAAATATTATAACAAATAACGGTTATTAATTGTAACAAAAATAAATATTATAAGCATAATTAATTCAAATTAAATTTTACTTTGATGTATTTTTGAAGAAAAAAAAATTCGTTCATAAATTTGACTGCATATACACCACGTAAATAAGTTATAGGTACGACCGCATTATACATTCTTACACGTGTTGGAACGATAAAAACTCGAGGTATAATTTCATAATACTCCTCTGGCCTCTGCTATATTTTGTTTTATCGTAGGCAGTGGTTTTAGCTTGTGATCAACAATTTTTTTTCCAAAAGTAACCTAAACTGTGTATTTCATGTTCTGAAGAAAAATTAGAACTAAACATGTATAGAATGTATCGATGTCAATTAACTGTCGAATGATATACATATCAGATAAACTATCCATCGTGATAAACTTGGGTGGGCGATTCCCTGCTACTTAGGGCTGCACCTTACTCAACGATCAAGTATAAAAATAAAATATATTAGTAGTTTTTACTGAAAAAAATGTAAACCATTGTTCCATTTGAATTAAAAAATAATTTTAATTTATAAAGTGTATATCAATAAATGTGAAAAATAAATAATTCAATTTTTATATAAAAATTCAAATTCAAAAAGAGAAAACACTGAAATGATTAGTTTCTTATTGTACCCATATTATTTTATAGAATAATTTAGTTACATGTTTATTTAATAAAGGCCCTTTAATATTTTTAAACATAAATTGAATCAAATTCAGTACAAATTAATAAAAACATGAAAAATAAATATATGCATACTGTACTTTTAAAAAACTAAGTAACTGTTCTCAGAGTACTGTTAAAACAAAATAATAAAATGTACTTAAAGATGATGGGAGTAGATATTTATTTTTTTTCTTTCTAGAAATGACTCAAATTGGCTATGAACTGTTTTAATATGATATATCAATTGAATTGAATATACATAATATAATTTAAGTAATAAGTAGTCGTAGTGTAATATTTGATCGATATTCCTGAGATTCAATTAGATAAAAGAAATACTAAATCATAATAATTTTAGCACAATTATATTAAATTATGCTTTCATAATTGTGTGCTGCACTGCTGCTGTGTTCAGACGCTATACACCATATACTGTGTACTAGTATAGTTTCTCCAACCATTACTATAATGTATTTACGTAACACTAAAGGTAGTATAAACTATAATGCATAAATAGTAGATAAGCAGATACATAAAAAAAATTGACGAAGTAGGTATACCTACGTCAAACAAAATGCTCAACATGATGTGAAAATAAAACTGAAAAAATACTCTATACATTTTGGCAATCTAACTATGTAAACAAGATATCATATTATATTGGGCACAATGTAACAATCGTCACTTAAGTGATAAATACTAGATATTTTTGACATAAATACGTATTAATATTATATATTATTATTTTACATATTCAGATAATTATTATTTATTATTAATGTTTTTTTACATTCGTTCAGTATTAAATTCGACTAAAAAGTGAAAAATCAAATCTTAACTCTTTTCTGAAAGTCGTGGTCGCTGGACGCTCCATTATAATATTGTCCATCGTTTGTTAAACGATAGAATTCCGTATATAATTTTTTTTCACAAGTATAACCGTGATAGGTACTAACTATGCAATGGATCGTCCAATGTTAGTTTGTCCTCTATAAAAATGTTTACACTTAAATAAATATAAAAAAAAAAAATCCAAATCAAACACTATAAACATACGAGTACTTTACTTATAAATACAATTATATATAATGATTTACTTTCTTAATTCTTGACGTGTCTTGCATGTACACACATAAATACGAATACAAATCGTTTGTATTCCGTATTTACATCGGCTTTTGAGCATTCGTTGCATCTGTATCTAGTGTTAATATCAAAACTATGTCTAGAATTAATCAAAAAATGTATCATTGTAATAATTGTGTTTTTATTATGATTTTCAACTGAAGAAAAACGGTAAAAGATAGAAAGAATTTTGAAGAAATCTGGTAATACATCACGTCAGGGAATATATAATATATGATAGGTCTATTATAATATTTTATGGTACCGTTTTATAAAATAGCATCTTCACATGAGCCCACTATGAATTTGTGTTGCAATATTCCAAACTCGTCTAAACTTAAAAGGCTTATAAATAAAACGATTATAGAATTACATTTTTCATACAATCACTCTAGGGAATCATAGGTACCTATTGCAGTATAAGATGGTCATAAATTTATGTACCTAGATTTTAAAAAAGTTAAAAATTACTTTTAAGAAAAATAATTAGTATAATAACTATATTTGTTGTTAAAATGTATTATTATACAATTTTTTAAACTAACTACATGGACATTTTTTTTTCAAAATCACAAAAATTGAATATTAAAATGTGTGTAGTTGGTTAACTCTTTAAAAATAACAAAACACAAACCTTAATAATATCTATACGTAAATAAAATATGTATGTCAGTATGTTACATCGAAGTAATTCATAGAAGTCGAAACAATCGTCTAAAGCGTCGAAATATTGTCAATATTTTGTGTAAAACGTATATTTATAAGAAGAGCATGCTCCCCGCCCGTAGTCCACACTGACATGATAGTTACACAACGAAACAACTTATTTTACAATTTTTACGTTATTCATAATAACACAGTAGCACGTGTTGTTCGTACCTATATCTTTTTTTAAATTTAAATCAATTTTTTCGTGTATTTATACCTTATAACTTCATTTATATCTTTTATCTTACGAATTTAAGAAAATATATTATTTATTTTTAATTGGATATTTAACACTGTTTTCTCTCCACTATTTCAGACCAAAGAATTCTGAGTAAGTTTACTAAATGATGAGGGTCAGTCAACCAAGCTCTAGTTTTTGCTTTAACAATTTTTATTTGTTAAAAATAAATTCACTATATGTCTAAGTGATATTAAAGAAGAAATTAATTTTTAAAGCTATAGGTTTTTTAAATTGGATTTATATCCTTATTACTCCATGAATTTATTCTGAATAAAAAATACATACAGCTATAACGTTTTACAATCGTTCTGTTGTAGACTTGTACATTGTACACACTTAAAAACTAAAGGCTAACCTACTTAAAGTGAAAACTTTCAACAATTGAACAAATACTTTTTATATTTACAATTTGTTCTTGCAACTAATTTTTGGGACACGTGTTGAAGGCTTTATGATATATATAGCCATCGCCGTAGCCATCGCCCGAAACCGAAACCAAAATCTTAATGTTGAAATTATTGTAAATATAACTTATTTTCTATAGGTAATTATATGATATGATATTATTTGTGCAGGTCGTAAAACGGTAATTATGACTGTCGCTGTCCATTGGTTTAGAAACGGCTTAAGGTTGCACGACAACCCAGCCTTGATTGAAGCTCATAACAATGCTGAAAAGCTTATTACACTGTACATTTTTGACGAAACAACGTTCAGTAAGTATAGTTACACATGGCAATATGGACTCCGTTACATCACGTATGATATATTTATTCATACCAAATCTATGAATATTTAAAATGTAAATCATTACCTAGTCACCTAGGAACTCAAATTTGAGTGTCACCGTTCGGTCCGTTCGTAAAATTAGTCAATAAATACACGTACAGTGGCATTAGTGATAAGGATAACTGATCAGTGATCACAATGTGGTCTATTAAATTATTAATTAAGTCACGAATATTTTATTTACGATTTTATATATCTGTGACTAACAGTAGACATCGCAGTTAATTTTTAATTCATGAATAATGAATAAATATTTGAAACTATTTACAATACACCTATAAACAATTATAAATGGATTAATATAATATCATAAAAACATATTATAAAATATTATGGAAAAACACATACCTAAATGAAAAAAATATGGGTACCTACCTACTATATTGTTTTTGCCTAAGAATTAATTAGTTTATGAAATATCGATCTTCGTCAGCAATCGTTTGAATATGTTTTAATATGATATATGTATCATATCATCGTGAAATTGAATTTATTTTACAATTATTTTGTGTAAATAATTGAGTTTTGTATTGCAATAATAACAGCTATGTAGATATAGAATGCAAATAAAATATCAAAATATCAAAATATAATTCATAGCTTCAGTGAAAATAAAAAGTAATTTGTTTATTTTTTAAATAGACAATTATTGATTATAATCTCGCTGAGGAAAATTACACATACAAATTGATACATTTTACAATTAAAGTCCTTGTTATGGGTAAAATATAATACAGATGTGCACGAATAAAATATTGTGTTAATTTTTAACTAATTAATTTTAATTTAATCTATTTTAAATAGTGTATTTTATTTAATTAGATGCAAAATGGTATGGCTACAATCCGATGCGATTTCTTCTGGAAAGTTTAAAGGACCTGAATAAGAATTTAACTTTAGTTGGAGGATGTTTGTACATACTTCAAGGAAACCCTGTTAATATATTTAAAATTATCAAAGAAAAGATAGGCCTAAATTTTATTACTTTTGAACAGGTATTTATTTTTATATTTATATATTATTTTTGAACGTAGATTAATCTTGGGCATTTATAATTTTAGGATTGTGACCATATTGGTAGAAAACGTGATGAAAAGGTGAAGACATTTTGCAATGAAAATGATGTAAAATACATTGAGAAAGTTTCCCATACACTGTGGAATCCAAAAACAATAATTGAAAAAAATGGTGGAGTACCTCCATTTACTTTTAAACAGTTCCAAGTGAGTAATTGGTAATAATATCTTTCACAATATATTAAAATGCACATTGAATATTTTAGAATACAGCAAACCAAATTGGTCATCCTCCAATACCAGTAGGTAATGTAGACTGGCTGAGTGTAATATTTGAGGAACTTCCAGCTTCTGTTCTAGACGAAATTAAGGTATTTTCATTTAAAAAAAGTAGATACGTCATATTAGTACTTTTTATACGGTACTCTTTTAAATATTGTAATTTATAGACATTTTTTTTTTACAATTTGCCTTACTTATGGGCATTAATTAATTTTTAGGTTCTGCACAATCCGACCCCGGAAACCTTTGGAATTTATCCAGAAGTTCCAGAAAATCTTACATCTCCATATCGTTGGTACGGCGGTGAGACCAGAGCTTTAGAACAGTTAAAGGAACGACTTGAATATGAAAGAGAAGCATTCGTGAATGGATTTTACTTGCCTAACCAAGTAAATCCTGACCTTTTGAGCCCACCATCTAGCCTTAGCGCTGCTTTACGATATGGATGTTTATCCATAAGAAAGTAATAAATATAATTTTGGAATAAAAATAAATAATATATACTTATATTATATACAATAATTTATTGTTAGGTTTCACTGGGAACTTTCAAAACTGTTTATCAAACAATTCGAAGGAGATTTATTACCTCAGTACAGCGTGACCAGCCAACTCATTTGGAGAGATTACTTTTACACTATGTCTATTGACAACAAGAACTTTGGCCAAATGGAGGATAACCCGGCATGTATTTCAATACCTTGGAATGATGTAAAAATTCCCGAAAATAAAAAGATGTTGGAATGTTGGAAAGCCGGCAAAACTGGATATCCTTTCATAGACGCCGGGATGAGACAATTGATGCAGGTGAATAAATTTAAAATTCTCAGGTACTTTGATGTACCTTCTCGTATACAAATATCACTTTCCATTTCACAACATCCTTGTTGTTTATCTAGGAAGGATGGGTTCATCACGTAGTACGAAATTCGTTGGCATCTTTTTTGACGAGAGGCGATCTCTGGATTAGCTGGGTCGAAGGTTTGAATCATTTTATGAAGTATTTGCTGGATGCTGATTTTTCCGTTTGCGCTGGTAACTGGATTTGGGTGTCAAGCTCTACGTTTGAACAGCTGTTGGACTGCCCTTTGTGTGTTTGCCCTGTCAGCTATGGTTTAAGGCTCGATCCATCTGGCGAATACATTAAGTAAGGTCATTAAATAAGGAGATTTTCAAAATAAACATCTATATTAATCTAATGTTCGTAGACGATATGTTCCTGAATTAAAAAACATGCCCGCCCAATATTTGTACGAACCATGGAAGTGTCCCGAATCAGTTCAAAAACAGGTGGGATGCATTATTGGCAAGGACTACCCTAATCGCATTGTCGACCATACAATAGCATCACGAGGAAACAGAAAGGTAAGCGAATCCATTCATTTCGACTTCACAGTTTTGACAAGTTTTCCACTTACTCCGTAATCTATGTAGAAATTTAAAAGTCAATAACAGTCATTTAATAAAACATATTAATAGATAAAATTTGAATTATTTTAATTTTAGAAAATGCTGGCATTGCGTGTTTCGATGACAAACGATAACATGCAGGTACCACATTGCTGTCCTTCGGATCGTGAAGAAGTTCAAAAATTCATGTACCTTCCTGATGAATGCATCCAACAGTTGCTTCCTTTGGAAAACAACGATAGCGAAGCGTATGATTTCTACAAATGTCATTGAATCATAGGATACAACATTAAAAACAACGCCCATACTATTCCTGAGCAGTACGATTTCATTTTGTTTCTCATAACTAACCATGACGATTATGCCAAACTATTTTATTTCCTCTACAATACTTCTATACTTATTTTGAAAACGGCGTTGTTAATTAGTCATACTTTGCATTTTATACTATTCTAAAATTCTACCTATTACAATAACTATGTGTGTTTATATGATAGTTGAACTATTTATTACTTACTTGTGTAGTTGTGTTACAACCTATTAGTTTTAAATCACTTATTTTTAGACTTTTCGTGAAATTAGTATAGAATGATTTTAATAATTTAACAAAACATTACGATAAAAATTAATTTATATAAATTACTATGCATGGATATTATATGCATATACTTCTAAATTTAAGGAATATTAGCTTACATTTTAAAAAAAAAGTACGTAATAGCCAATATATATTATAATATATATTTCATCACTCAATTGAAAAACGTATTATCTGTTTTACGGTTTTATTAATACACTATCAGTTTTGAATTTCTAATTTTAATGTTTAATCACACTTTTCTTGATAAATAGACAATAGATTTAAACAATTAAGAATTTCACTCACACAATATTTCCACTAAAATATTACTTATTACCTACCAATATATATTAATCGATATTCATAAAATATAGTACTTGCATTATTCATCAAATTAGCCATAAATATTCCAAACAAATAACTAGTTTAATTTTGATATTAATGTTTTCAGAATTTACATATTAAAAGTGTGTATAGTGTAGTAGTTATAACAGAAATGTTGTTCTACACCTGCATTCCAATATATTCTTATAGGTACGGAAAAACTATATTGTATTCGAAAAATTAAAATGTTGTTTCTTTCTTTTTTCGAGATAAAATTATAAATATTTTCAATATTGAATTGTTGAAATGTGCATTTATCATTAAGTCAACCTTAAAAACTCTAATCACTATTCAAACTTAATTAATTATTATTACCTCGTCCTATTTGGTCAATTTTAGTATACTCTGTAAAACTTACCACACTCATGAAGGTATTTTACGTATTACCTAATTATCTATATAAAAGGAGATCGTCTGATTTTTTTGAAATAAAAATCGTAATTTTCAATTGGATCAGTAGTAAGTATTTAAATTTTAAATGATTTAATAAATTTATAAAATGTAGGTAGTTTTATGGCATCGTAGTTATCATTACATATAAACAATAAACATACATTGGATTTCTTTCCAAATATTATAGGTATGACAGTATTAAATCGTTTGCCTTTGGAATCGACTGTTGCTCTATAATATATATCACGTTTGAACGGCAAACTCTACTTTGTATGACTACTATAAACTACCAATCACTATAATAATAAATTGAACATTTAAACACCGAGGAAACACAGCGAACCTATACTGTGACATACAGCAGTCAATTTCACAGTCGCTAATCAATGATCATCAATAAGTAGTAATTGTTATTAAAAGTAATAAAAGTATATTGAATAAACGAGGCGAATGGATATGTTAACGTTCTCGACTGCAGTTCGAAATTCCAAAACATTATTAGATATCGAAATCTTTGTTTAAAACAGGGACACAATAATTACACTGTATATAGTTAAGAACACTTCTTAACCCCTTTCACCTTTGTAGTACTTAAAAATAACATTAAGTTCAAATTTGTTATATCATGACCAAAATCTACTTGTTAAGTGCTGGTTAGTTATAACTTAAGCAGTGTACAAACTCCATCATATAAATAATTATAAACGTTTACGAATTCAAATTTATATGGACGAAATAAGTTTAAATAACAAAAAACTTATATGAACTCGTATGTCTTTAAACATATTACCAACTAAACGAAAAACATGCTTTTTGTGGTACATACAAATTTTATGATTCGCATAAATCGGATTTCTAAAAAAAATTAGTTCTTTGAGATTAAAACGATTAGGTACTAAATTGGTCTATTACGAATGCTTGAAGTACACAAAACAAAATCAACCTATCCTTCTAAAATACGAAATGTAAAGTTTGATTTGTTTTATTTGGGGAAAAACTTAAATATATATATTTTTTAAAGATTAATACATTATAAATTATAATATGAATAAGATAATGTATAAAATAACTATTTTTGTTTAACCTTATAAACTATAGTTATACCTTATTCTATGATTAATATACAAATCACACACTATTTTACATTAAGTTACCTTAAACTTTAAAAGTATTAAAATAAATACCTACTATTGTATATTAATAGTCAATATAAAAATACTAACATGACCTACCCTGATTTAGCTAAGGATCGATTTATTTTGGAAATCAAACTCAATATTATAGTTTCTTCTTTCTTCTCGAATTATCCAGAAATTTGAATTTATTTTAATTATTAGCATTATACATATATATGTATAAACGCACTGTGAGCATAAAGTACAAATATTCAACGTTATTTCAGTATACATTATAAAACAGGTTACAACTTACAAGGAACAGTCAAATAAAAAATATATATGATAAACTTTAAAAATAAAGGCTATAATAAACAATTATCGTGGAACTTCTGAGATTACATTAATTTTCTATGAAATTGAATTTCTTATTTTAACTTGTTGAATTCGGTCTGATAGTTTTGATTTAAACCACGAAATGATGAGATCTCTAACACCAATAGTGTCAAGTTTACTTATTAATATTTATTTTATCAATGGCCTTTAATAATTTCATTAAAGATTGCATTAACTTGGACACTATTACTCATTGATTGCGTTAAATCAGTGGTTCCCAACCTTTTTCATTCTACGCCCCCCTTGTAAATTTACTTAAATCTCATTCCCTCCCTTAAATTAGAGTTTAGGCAAATGTTTGTTTTTGTGAGTAGTACAAATAGAACATTCAAAATAACAATATATTACACAATATACAACTATTTACTTTTATTATTTTCATAATTTTAAAAATATATTATAAATCAACTTACGAAGTAATAATATTAAGTATGAGAAAAAAATATTGAATATAAAAACAAAAATATTAACATAATGTATAAATAATATCTCGGTCTATCGACTCTATTGGTACTCCTAATATATAATTCCTATCGATGGCCGATAATCTGAAAACTAATATAGTGTTTTCAATTTTATACATAGTAAAATAACATAATTATTTTCGTAATTCGATCATCGCTATATCCCCCCCCCCCGAGAAGACTCTAAATTCCCTCCTGGGAGGAATCCCCCTGGTTGGGAACCACTGCGCTAAATCGTTATGGAAATTCATCAAATTGGTTAAAATTGATTTATTTTTACGAAAAACATATTACAAATATGATTTGTAAAATTACTTAGAATGAGTAAAATAAGTACTATACTGAATACTACATAATATACCTGTTTGATCCAGTTTGATACCTAAAACTAAAACCTTCATTATGAATTCTGAATCTTCCTTAGGATATTAGTTACACAACAGAGAAACTATTAATTCGACTATTTACATAAATAATGGGTGATTCACATTTGAAAAAAAAGAAGTTCCCACACATCATCGTAAAATCAATATATTATTCATCACATCACGCGACACTCAATATTTAAAATATTATTTACTCATTTGAATTTTTAAGAGTGTGTAATTAAGCAAAGTTCGTCAACTACAATATTAAAAGCAACTCGTTTTTTTTATAACAATAAACGTGACAGGACTGCAAGCGTTGCATCCTATATTTTTTGTATACACTAGGTAGTTATATACATTTCAGTACTTCACATTTAAGTTCACAAAATTTAAAAAGTAATTGATTTTGAAAAATACTGTACTAATACATAAATTACGATAAACAAAATGCATTAACTTACATAATAATACCGATGTGTAACAATTAAATAACTACAATTTAACAAACAAAATTTGGTTAAGTCAGTTAAGAGAATTTCGGAAACTTAACTGTCTAGAATGCTCTTGTTTGTATTTAAGATCTATTTATAATTTACAGTTTATTTTTTTATAATATTAACAATATTTACATAGTTATCGTTATATCTGTACAATTTGTCGGTGGGACAAGATTTAATGTAAATATCGATGTTATAATGTCGGTGTCTGCATTCTGCTATAATAATATCCTGAAACAAATACAAACAGTTTACATAGTCATATAAAGGTATATTATGTTTAATAATGATTTTATAATTAAATACAATACAAATTAGGTATTGGAGTAAAACTACTATTGTAGTATTATTCTCTTGTATATCGTTTAATTAATTCTCCTACACAATTGTTTAATTTAATAAAGCTATAGCGTCATGTCCTAAAGATACGCAAAGAAATTAAGAAACTTAATAAAAATTGTATATAAGTTATTAATCACACTTTTGGGGGAATAAAACTGATCATGCTATGTGCATTATTGTCGAATACCATGATTATTAATCATTTCTCCTCCTCTATAGATTGTAAACGGTGGTGATTCGACATTGTAATTTTCGCGTCGTTTTTAAAAATGTTTTTTGTGTACGTTATTTTAATCGTATACATTTAAAAGACTGACATGCAACGATACAGTTTAAGTATGACTTGAACAATTTTATTGAAATTTTATTACAAACTTATGGTTATGTACACTTTGCAATACAAAGTTAAAAACAATCTCTATGCAAACATTTTTTCAGCGTCTCGCAAAACGAAACAATGCGACACGCCTCAAATGTAATACCCACGACAAAGTACGTCGACCTGTGTCCTACCCGGATCAATGACTTAGTCAAGCATTATAGTCATATACATTTATAATATTTAAGGAATACACGACACACGTTATGATATATTATGATTACCTTTTTTTTTTTTTTTAAATAATTGACTTTATTTGGAGAATTACAATCTATACATTTTTGTACAATAAGTAATATTAATAATATTTACACAGTTGACATAGAAATAACATGAGGAGGAAATCACACATTTGTGACACCTCTTAGAATTATAAGTTTTAACTTAAGTTTTCAAATCACTGCACCATTTCCTCTTGAGGCGTCTGGTTGGGTTACCTGGAAGTGTTAGTGAAGCTAGCTCATTTATTAGTTGTTTGGGAATATCTTGAAGTTTAGCGTGGAAGCGTTTGTAGTAGGTATCAGCTGTATTGTCGATGGAAGGTAGTTTGAGGTCGAAGTTAAGGGTCGCGTTGGAAACGAACCAGGGTGCGCCTGTGATTAGTATTATGATTACCTATCGAATATCGATTACAGTTTTGGTTAGCAGGCGCTAAGCAAATGTAAGCCCGTCGAAACGTATCGAAGACCGCTTGCGAATAACCTAAACTTAAGGGACCTTTGAGAGAACTCCCATTCGCTTACGTAAGAACACTGACAATGTTCTTGTCTTTAAGTTTAATATTAGAAGAATTCATTATAATATTTAAGCTAACAACATACAATTGGCTCTGCTGAACACAAATTTGGTATGTTTTATAAGACGGGACGTGGATTATAATATGACGTCCTCTAAATAACAAGTTTTGTTATAAAATAAAAAAAAAACATTTAACGTGTTAGGTATACAGCTTAATTGGGTACATGCATTTAAATTAAGTAACTTAAATTTGTAAAAAAAAAAAATTATATCAATAATTAGTAAATACCTTTAAGTCTTTCGTGCAATTGTTGTTCGGTGACACAACAGTTGAACTCAGTCGGTCGTACTCCTTGGAAAATGGATATCACACTAGGTTTGACATTATAGAACACTAATGGTTGACCTCTCCTGACAAAGTCGTCTATTAGAGATTTGACACCCTGTGTCAAAAAAAAAACCGATTATTGACGTTATTTACAGGACAACTCGTATTAGGTATATGACTTAAAATACGTGAACTTGTACATACTTTGGCCGCGGTAAAGTCGGCTCCTTGTATGTGCCTGCAGTCCATTACGACCGGAATCGAACTCAGTCCTTGTTTAAGTCCGGCCTTGGACACCACTGCCCTCACGTACTCGACGGACGGGAAAACCAAACTACGGTCCGGCGTTATCACTAAATATTCGTACCCAAATTCACTCTGCAGATTTCAAAACATTCAGGGTTTTATACAAACTGATTAACCTCCATTGTTTTCTTTAGTAACGAATTCATTCAAATGTTAGTTTTTAGAATTTTAACATAAACGTCTTAAGACTTAATAGTTAAGGTCCATATGTTCAATTATTTAGATTTTTTATACTATTTTAGGGGAGTACTTTGGCGACACAAACTTCTAATTTTCAAACGAAAACCAATAAGTGGCAAGTGGCGATTAACACTCTTTACTGTAAATTATTATTTGACCAACGATTTTTTTTAAAACTTTGATGTATCTAAATCAAAATTCGAATGAGTAATTTCTGAGTTATTAAAATGTATATACTAAGGATAATCCAAAATATATTCTAAAATGGTTTTATCAAGACATAAAGTAGACTTTATATTGAATCTAGTAACTATGTATATTGTATACATATCGATTTGGAGTTATTTTAAAACATGATGTTGTTTGAACAACTTTCCTGGGTTGTGCAAATGACCTATTGGTGGTTTTTACTTTTTGAAATTTGACACAGTTCTGGTGTTAAGGTAACACTTATAAATCCTTAGAGCAAAATCGAAGTTCAAATGTGTATAACATTGACACTTGTTGTAGTCAGAACAACTCCAAATTTCTATGAGTGTAATATATACCAGAAAATTTTTTTTCTTGTGGCATCGGCACATGGAGGTGGACTGTTTGCACAATACTTATCCCCATATACCAGATACTAATCGAACTTGTCCTGACTGACTAACTAATAAAAGTAGAGCCTAAACTCAAAATTATTAAACTTTGATGGATTAATATTATAATAATTACTTAAATATTCACATCATCTATAAGCCCTATACCTCCCAAACCCTTTATCATAGAAATATCATTCTTGATAGGTAGTATACAAAGTTAAATAACTCAAAACCACTCATACAAATTTTGATTTAGATACATCAGAACATTAAAAAATGTAGGAAAAAATGGAAATTATCTTTTGAAAAAAAAAATTTAATTAAACAGGATACTTTTCTTTAAATTACATATACATTATACAATCTAAGTGCTTGAAAATATGGCACTCCAGTAATTTAAGAGTTCCAAAACTCAGATTATATTGAATAAATTCGGTAGTAATGAAATGAATAGGGAGTGAGCATGCCTGGTGAACCACAATATTATATTTATTGTATTATATAACGTCAAAGTGTGTAATCTTAAAAATATAATGACATTATTGAATTTGTTATGTTTACTGACTTGTTGTTTTTCGACATGGACGCTAGGTCTAGCCAAGGTGTAAAGCAGTATTATGACGTTAATAGCTATGCCGACAACGATCCCGACTTCCAACCTGATTAACAGCGAACAAAGGAAAGTGGCGAATGCCGGTATCAAATCGATTTCTGAAATTTTTAAACATATTTTACTCGTTGTTCGTAAAAATATCCAGTAGCGTGTTAATAAATAAGACAGTGTAGACAATAAGTTAAACGAGACAACACCGTGTTATAGATAATATATCATATATTATTATTATAATGTCGACGATGACACATACTTTTCGTTCGCCACATCGGTTTGACAACTTGCAGTTCGACCATGAACACGACGGCGGCTATTATCACAGCGGCCAAAGCAGCTTTGGGTATGTACACGAGATACGGCGTGAAAAATTGTAAAGCTATTATGACGATTATTCCTAAAAAGTTAAATCAGTTTTTTCCATTATTTTGGTTATATAGGTAACGGTATAAAATACATTACAAGCGCAAATCACCAGAAAAACATATTAAAAGTGTTAGTATCGTAAAATTTAAAAGCCGCAGACTTTTTAAGACTTTAGATGTTTATCAGTAAAAAATATATAATTGTGTAATTATATTTCCCATTTAATCAAACATGTATTATTAGATTATGTGGTATTCAATGTAGCTAATTTAAGAGATTTAACAAAAACATTTTTTTTAAATAGTATTCTGCTTAAAAGTATGAAATTAAAAATTATTATCTGACTAACAAACTTTTTTCAATAGATTTTATATATACATAAAATATATGTAATAAACATGTTTTTTTTCCAGTTTCATCCCCAAATTTTTTCAAAACATATTAATATGCAATAACAAATGATCAGTGAATCTGACAAGACCATATGGTTTACCCAAGCTGACATGAATTTACATTGATACATCATCATTGATTAAACATTGTTTTGATTGTTTATTTTTTGAAACTATGGAATTCTAACTTGAATTATTTCTATCAATAGTGTTCTAACATATTTCTTCCATATTTTATTTCTAATAAATAATGTATAACACTATCTACAAAATAGTATAATTTATTATATGTATTGGCTTTGATATATAAAAATATGAATTTCTCAAAAAGGTTAATAGATAACTAAATATTATATTAATTTTCTGATGCAAACTGAAAATATAAGCATATCTTTTATAATATTATATCAAAATAAGTAGGATTCTTGGTGTTTACCCTAGAATTCAGGGTATGACTTGCACCATAACGGCTATATGCACATTGCACATTGCACATAGTATTAGTAATACAAATAATAATCCAACCGTATAGTCCACGAAATCGCAACCAAAAGAAATATTGTACCTGTGTAAACTCCTCCAAATGTGGTTTTTACTCCACTGGCGTTGTTCACGGCACCGCGCGATAGAGCACCAGATATGGGCATGGACCCAACAAAAGACGAAATCAAATTGCAAGCGCCCAAGGCGAGCATTTCTTGAGTGGCGTCGACGGTCTTACCATCGGCTAAATAAAACAATAGAACATGTTTTCAAGAACTTAGCTAATATATAATTTCACTTGACTGCAGGCGAGCGAGTCGTGACTAGTCAATATCATACACCATAGTATAGTTTTTAATACGACGGTATAGTGACTATACTGTCGTATTAAAAACGCACATTCAATGTTTTAATATGATGACATTGTTCAATGTCGTTTCGTAAAATAAACGCACCTACCTAAGCGCGTTTTTAAACGTAAAATCAACTCACCGAAAAATTTAGCTAGTGATATATTTTCTAAAATAGACAGAAGTGGCACTACCAGAATCCCTGAACCTAATTTGGACGCCATCTCTACGAAATTATACGTCTCGTTCCCGACCCGACTCTCGAACGGTGGTGGTCTGAAACTCGGGAGACCAGATTCCACGTGACCTGGAAACAGAACATATCTTCTCGTCAAATCGCTGTGCGAGTTAAATAAACAAAATGTCTGTTGAATTACTTGACAGTTTAAACGGCAAATTCCCGTGTTCCTTGTACATGTAACCCAGTGCTGCGCAAAAAACCACAACTATGATGTTCCTCGCCGTCGATATGAGCCAAATTATCGACGTGACCGTTCGCTGCCCGGTCGTTTTATCCTTCATGTCCAGAGGGCCGATTTGTATGTCCTTCATTTTCTGTGAATTTAATGAACAATTATAAAATATATTCGAGAACGCTGGACGATGATATAATAGGTAGATTAACATGGGAGAATATTAATAGATAGGGTATAATATTACCCTCAACAGCAGCAGCACAATCATACACGTAATGCCGAGAGTCCCGTCGCCTACGCTGATCTCTCTGATGTGAATGGCCAATTGGTCCCAGAAGCCTATGAACGAATTAGCTTTTATGTTGATACCGAGCAGGTCTTTCAGTTGGGATGTTGCTATCACGATCGCTGCTGCTGACGTGAAACCAGCCGACACCGGTCCGGATATGAAATCGATTAAGAACCCTATAAAATCCACGAAGTTTATTTTAGTTATACAAGCTTATGTTCATAGACCGCACATTGGCAAAACGTTTTGATCGGGCGAAAAACCACGGCGTTTAAACCATCGCCGGCATAATGTTTGGCAAGCCCACTTGACCACGTCAATATTATAATGAAATAATATACGTATACTGTTGTACACGTCTTGTACCTACAGTAGATATATATGAAATTACCTAATTGCGCAAAACCCATGATAAGTTGTACGATACCGGTGATAAAACACAACAGGATGGCGAATTCTGGTCCCATATCGTGTATGTTTTCACGGGTCATGATGGCCATGATTGCCGTAGGACCCAACGCCGGGTCTTTACAGCTACCGAATATCGTGTACACGAAGCATGCCATGAACGAAGAGTACAAACCAATCTAAAAAATAATCATTCGGTCACAGTCCACAGTCTTATAACAGTATAATAATCATAACTAGATCAAATGTATAAATAGCTATAGCTATGAATAGATATATCAATGGTAATAATTATAACCACTATTCTAAGTATAAAATATATCCCTATACACGAATTAGAAATATTATATAATTGATATTTATATTATAATTATTATACTCAATGTATACTTATCAAGGTTACGCGTAGGTATACGCAAGATGTAAGTAGGTACCTATATATTATTATACACGTTATTATAGGTTTTTGACTTATTTATTTTTTTTTGTGTGTGTAATTTTGTGATTACTTTTCGTCAGAAGACCTGACCTCAAACTTGCGACGCAATCACACGAGAGTTAAACATTATACATTTGGGCATAATGTATAAACATCACTTGGTAAGCAGATTAACCACAAATATGACCGTGACAGTATCGAAATTATTTTGAACTCGTTGTGAAGATTATCGTTTATTCATTTACGAGCGAAAACCATTGGACAAAACACAATCGAAACATATTATATCGAATGCAATACGAATACGACTCTAATAACATTCGTTTGTAATTAAAATTTTAACCGGATGCTGATATTGGTGATACTGCAATATTTTTGTATACAATGGCACTCGCATTTTATGATGAACGTCGAACGACAAAACGTTTTGTATAAAAGAAATAAGAAATAATATTTTAATAGGTTGATTATTATTACTACCTAACGCACAACCAAACAAATTTAAGTTTTCCTTAAAAAAAAAAACTATAATTTATTTTAAAATGTCCAAGGGAGTTATGGTCTATTGTATTCTCAGTATATTATATTGTTCATGGTAGAGATAAATTTTATTAACTAAAATACTAAATTGTATATTGTCGTTATTGGTTTATAGTTATAAATATTAGTCATTAAGCGTGATTTAGAACGAAATAACCAGTAAAAAACAGTAGATCATAAATTATCTGCAGTTTCTTTAACTTGTAGTTAAACTTTAGGTACCTTATAAGTTATAAGTTAATGTAGTCGCAAATTGTTTAATAATATTTTGGACTATTCATAAGAGTTGTATATTGTATAATATATTATGTTTTGTGGCAAACACTCGTAAATAAATAAACACGCAATCATAATGAATATTATACAAACGATTATTACAATTATTAATATTTATTTAAACATAGTAGAGTGTGCCTATCATATATTAAAATGCTTAATATCGTTGTTCAAAATAAATAGCGTATTCGTGTAAAATCAACAAAAAAATACTATGTTGAAGTTTGTTAGACCAGCCCCACTTTTAGAGTTTGGAAATGTCATCTGTTAGGTTAATTTGTGAAAATTACGACGTAACTGCTAAGAAAATAAGAGTTAATTTGAAATTACATAAAATGGAACGCTGATTGGAGAGATTAAATTCAAGAAAGATCATTAAGATAATAATATGATATCAAGAAATTTAATTTAAAAGTCGTCACATTCTAAAAAGAACAATTCTGGGTATTAGTACCTCTAGAATCTAGATAACATTGAGTTTTTTTTTTTAATATTTTTAATTAACTTTTAAATTTTCAACAAAATGTAATTTGACATACCTAATTATCTATACTCAACTGTGATGATATTTAAATTTAACTACATAGCTCAAAGAAACAGAAAGATTTGTGTAATTAAATTTAGTAATTTTATGTATTGATTGTGGAAATAACCAATGGGACAGAGATTTCTTATCCATGTTTAAATATGTACTATGCGTACCTAGCTAAACTTCTCCATTCTAAACTTTAAATAGTCCCAGTCATTGGGCAGGCAATATTAGATTCATAAAATATTTGCCTAAAAAAATGTATTGAAAGGTAAAAATAAATTACCGAAGTATGAAAAATGTAATTTCGATATTATATTAAATAATACGTTCTGAGGGAAACGTAATTATACAAACTAAACATAGAATAGTAAGAACTGTTAACTGTTAAGTATGAAATATTACTCATGATAAAAGTAATAATAATTACGACAATTTCGATTTTTGGTTCGTTAAAGCAGCTAGAGTAAAGTATATAGAAATTGTTATTTAAAAATTGCCACCGATTTAAATGAAAGTAACTATATTATAAACAAACAATTCGTGCTGTATTTGTTTTGTTTTTGTAATTTCCTGAAAACGGCATTTGAACGCACCAGACGTCTGGGCGCATTTGTATAATATAATAACTAATAAGGAAGAAGAATAATTAAATACCAGTGTACATAACCTCGCAATAGGTTTTACCGATTGATTGCATAACACAGTATGTTTTATATAGGAAAAGAATTAATGTAGTCATACGAGTTGGGACGGTAATAATAATAATAATATTACATACAAAATATTATCATAGGTAATATATTACAATAATGCACGTTGCGTGGTAATCGTCCTTAAAGTGATTTCCTATGTAGTCCACATTATTTGTCAGTTCTCTTCGGACCGCCTCGCTCACTCCCTGTTGGATGTGTGCGTGTGTGTGTGTGTGGGGGGGGGGGATATCATCATCGGTTTAAACGGATAAACAACTAATCGGTAGGTATAGTACATCTGATAATAATATCACAAATGAACGACTTTTCTATTCGCGGTTTTCAAAGATTCGTGGACGCGACCGACTTACTTGTGGAGGTAATCCGGCTACGTTCGCGAAAGCTATGGCCTGTGGTATGACTGTCAGTCCGACCGTGATGCCTGCCACGAGGTCGGATATGCCGTGTTCGGCGACGGTGTACTTGGGCAACCATTGGAGGATGGGTAGGCGTTTGTACAACACTTTTCTCGTACAGCACCTGTTCACCGAATCCTGGTCGACGGGCACCGCTGTGTCGAAACCCAAAACTTTACCTGGACGAAAACAAATCAAGGCTTAATAACGGAATAATAATTGTTATCCTATTTTTCGAGCTCAAAAACGGTTAAAGCTTATAGTTATGACTTATGTTAGCTTTCGACTATATTAAAAAAAAAAAATGCGTTATTGACCCTTATTGAGATAACCTTTACACCAGCTTAAACACATTCCACTTATACCGTAACTAGTGAAAACTTAAAACTATAAACTATGATGTACGGAATCGATTGCTTTCGATAAAAATTCTGTGACTGCATATTATGAAACATCTTCGGTGCTTCTTCCAGGTCTAAAACCATCATAATGATTTTTGATAGACGATTGTTACTTTTTAAATAATTTATCAAACCACCTTTAATGATTTTTTGAAAAATTACTTAACATAGATATCGGTCGGTAATATTGCTCGTATTATATTCTCCTTATCAGCACCTCTATACATAGGTTTAATTATCACTATTTTTCATTTAACAGGAAAAATATCATGTTGCAGACTGAAATTAAATAGTCGTTAAAGGATGTATTATAATATAAGGTGCTATATTTTTCAAAATTATTTATTATGGTCACGACTTCAGTATAGTATCTATTTTTACTGAGAAATATTTTTCAAAAAAAAACTTTGATGATCTTTCGGCGGTATCTTGATCCAAAATATTTTTTAGGTTTTGGCCAATAGTGGAAAAATAATTATTTAAATTATTATACCCAATTTGGGGTTCTTTTTGTGCATTAATTAATTTACCGTTATAGATTCAACTTTTCATTTTGTGATTATCATTATGAGATACACTTGTTAGACTTTTTATTATAATTTCGATGAGTTTTTAACGACTCCGGAAAAACGTTGGAATTAATTTTTGTGAAAACTTATCTATACCATCTTAATTTTATAATTTAGCATATTTCTATAACTCTTATAGTACTCAATTACATTTTTTTTTTTTATTGTTTTTGACTTTTTTAGCTTTTAAAGATAATTCTTGTTTTTTTCAAACTAAGCACACTAATCCTGGAGTCATACAATTTTTTTAACGATTTGATCTAGAATTACCTTTTTTAGTTTTTTTCCACTGCTTGAACTATTTATAGCATCAACAATATTTAATACATCATTTAAGTTACAAATATTATATAAATTAGTCCATTTCCCATTATTTAATATATAATTTATCATTCAATAGTTTATACTCTCAAATGTACCAGAATTGTGTTGAATTATAATCGGAATAGATATAATATTACTAATATTAGTTTAATAATATAGAAAAATCTGTTTGAACACCAGGCTAGTACACCAGCTTGAAAGTGATCGGTGTTTTTTATTTTTTTATTTAATTTAATAAATAATATATGATCGGTACATGAGTTTTTCCTATTACTAGGAACTCTCATATAAAAGTTTATAAGGGAACTAAATCCATTTGCTGATAACAAATCAAGGTAATTGTTATTAACATTAATATTATTTATTACCTATTATACTTAATATACTTATTTCCATAACACCTAATAGGATAATCATGGTTTTGTCGTGCATGTCTTTATCTGATAAAATGATTGCTTTTAAACGAGTAAAAAATTCATTAATTTTATCTGAAGGTGGCCTATATACAGAATAGATTTATCGGAACAACATAATTATTGGTAGCCAACTTAATAATATTAGCTTCAAAACAGTTTTATTCATTTAAAATATAAATCAATATTTAGTTTCACGTGGATAACTTGTGGGGGAAGCTAACGACACCTCAAAATAAAAGTTATGATTTTTTAAGGCATTTTTATACTTTGTCTAGCTCACCCCATCCAATCCAACAATATTTAACATTTTTGTGGTATTAAAATAATTTATATAAGATGGTTATAATATTACAGTTATAATACCAGAAACAAAAAGTACGTTTTTTATAAATGAATTGAAAATAGCCATGTAGGTAAAAAGTTACTACCTATTATATTATTTACAATTATAAATAGTTGTTATAAACTTATCTTCGTCAAACAAAATATAATATGTTTATAATTTATAATTGAACTTTTCGAATACAGAGATATTGTACCCTAAATTAAATCTGGATGTGGTATATACTATTTAGTATTTTCAGAGAAAAAATATGAAGAAAAACAAAACTGTGTGTTACTTTACTTGTCTACAACAACTTTTCATGTAATACATTATTTATCAACTGTGTCAAACACGTCCTTCTGCGCTGCCGTAATCATGCAGACATTTGAACCTCATTAAACATACCTGAGCACCTATATGAAGCACTTGGACCCGATTATGAAAATTCCAACAAAATCTTAACTTTTCTAAAAACAACCAAACCTCATAATCTCATATAATTTTATAAGTCTTTTTTGCCGTTTTTTTCTTATTTTACATTGTATACATTGTTCATACTAAGATTAACCATATTTTAATATTGTCAAATTTTATACAGTATGTGAATGTTATAGTAGTATTGTAAATATGTAAGGTAATAACCTTAATTGTTGAGGATTTACAGTAATACAAAAAAAATTACGTCTGTTTGAAAATAATTCTATGATACATACACTAAAAAAAACATGTTATTGTTACTCTAAGTTTACTGACTCGTGTTATTATACATCAATATTGATCAGTTGACTATAATCGTAGACGCAATACTGAAAACGAATCAGAATTATAGAGAAGGAGTCAAGGAAAATAATTTTATAATAAAATATATATTATATATTATATTATCAAGTAGGAATATATTCATTTTGCACGCTTACAAAACCGGTCAAACTTGGGTCATGGTTAATTCCGGTCAAGTATATTATATACACTATACATAATACACCCAAGTTAGTTACATTAATATCGTTGCAAATTTTGAAAGACGAAATTTAACGAACCATAATACCAACACATCTATATTTAAAGTACCTATCATACTCGGTAGTTTTTTATATTTATTTTTACAATGAACATCGCCCTAATGTCCTTGAATAATAATTAGCACGTGTTTGTGCGAACTGGAAACAAGATAACAAAAGATCCACCGTGTGATAAATCATTTTTATCATCTAAAATATATTTTATTTCAATAAAAATTTAACAGTGCCTAATTAAATTGTATTTTTGATAAATGACTATGCTATACTATAGTAACAATGTAAGTAATAATTTGCTTAAAATAAATTAATTTGCGAACAAAAATGTAGATTATTATTTGTATTGAGTATAATTAAATCCAAACGTTTAAACTCAAATAAATAAAACTAACACTACCAAAATTTAAATATTTATACTTTTAGATAGTGAATGTTTTTTTACGAGAGTAGAGTAGTGCAAAGCATAGGTACAGCCTGGTAAAAGTATATGTAATAAATTATAGTACAATTTTAAATTAAGTTGCTGATGCAGTTAATCATAAGTACTAATTATTTAGTTTGAACTAACTAGTTATTAAAACAGTATTAAGTAAAAATTAAAATATGTAATAGCATAAAACTTTCCCCATATTTATGTTGGGACTGTACGTATTTGATATTTACGAAGTTTACAAAAACAGAAGCGTATGACTTTGATAATTTATTTATTGTTATTTATTTTGTACTGTTTCTAAGTAATTTTATCTCGGCAGAGATATATAATAGTATATATTTTTAAAACTGTACATAACAATATCATCTACACAATAAATGCATGTAACGCAGTAAAACACTCGTTAGAGTGAATAAGAACTATTTTATTTTTTCAGTTTCTAATGTTTCTATAGAAAAGGTTTCATTTGATGTATTAGTAAAATGATTATAACCATAATTAAACAACATAGTGTAATTGCATTCATAATGAGTTTCTACGACGATAAATGACAAGGACCAGATGACCGCCACGAATCCTGTTTCGTTTTAAATAAAATAAAATTAATATAGTAAATATAAATTAGCAAGATATTATGATATTCTGCTACACGAATTAATTATACAGGATGATAATTAATCTCTAAATCACCAAGCATGCTCTCCCCCCATTTTTTCCTAAAATGCTGAATTTACTCGAATTTTGATTTTTGGAATTTTTAATTATACTAAAGGAATATATTTTTAAATGGCAAAATTGTTTTTACTATTTAAGGAGGTCTAATTTTAAGTATCGGTTTTTTTTCAAATGAGAATTAACTATTTTTCTAGTAAATTATTAACCAGATGAATTTTTTGAACATTTTAAAAGAGTAGTTCTTGAGTTACCTATTTAACTTTGTGTACTAAGAATAACAAACCTAAAATGAAGGGTTTTATAAATACGCTATAATTATTTTTAATTTGTTATAATGAATATCTATCTATTATAATTTTATAATTTTTAAAAATGTCCTAGTAAATTGTATAAAAGTTTCAATATTATTTATATTTTATATTTTTGTAATAAAATTGTTAAGAATATTATTCTTATAATATTATACATTTTAATAACTCAAAAATGACTGGTACGAATTTTGTTTTCTATTTATAAAAATTTTCAAACATAAATGATCTGCTCTACAATTTACAGTAAGAAAGAGTTGGTTTTTATTTGAAAAAAAAAGTTTGTATCACCATAGGACACTCCTAAAAATGTTTTAAAAATCTAAATAATTAAAAATATGATAGTCAATAATTATAGTTAAAATTTGCCTGATTTTTAACTCGGATAAATTCGATATTAAAACAAAAATGGGAATTGTTGAATCCCTTTTACATGGTGTTATCTGTAAATAATTGGTGGCTACAACACGATTGAGCATAAACCATCTATTTTACGACACCGCTGAGCCAATTTGTATCATATCAAAAGATATAGAAATATAAAATAAAACCAACACGATTGAGCATAAAAACTCTGCGGTGATGCCATTTTCAATGTTGAACTGTATTATACAAACGATGTTTGTTTTAAATAATTATAATAACTCAAAATATGATACTAGTTATCTTCGATAAAACTATCGTTGTGTTATTTGATAAATGGACATTT